TAAAGCTAAATAGGACTGCGACAAAACAGAATTCTATGCCATCTTGGTCTTCATATCTACGATTTAAATATATTTAAACGAATAAACGCCCAATTTGGAAAAAAACGTGCAGATATAAATAAAAGCCGTTTTTCTAAAAAAAAATATATATATATTCGAAGTCCTGCTTTTCTTTTTACATATAAATAAATATTTGAAGCAAAGTCAAGTTTATAAAAATAATATATATAAAACCGAATTCCGGTTTATAAAAAATATATATATTAATAAATCCACGTTTTGAATATATATATTGGATGGTATGTCAGGCTTGCTCCTCCTGGGTCGCTTTCGTGTTTATGATATGTTTAAAGTTGGCCTCTTTATCATTCGAATCTTTGTAAACCTGCTTTTTAAACCCATTTTTCTAGCTCTCTCGGGTCGGCCTGTGCTCACCAAGTTTCATCGCAAGCTCACCGGCAGCGGCCAGTATGTGTGGAGTCGCAGCCTTCTATACCCGAGCGCATGCTGGCAGCCGGCCGCAGTTGTCAATAGCCCTCGACCGGCGTCGTCAAGACCCTTCACTTCGATCCCAGCCTGTCGGTCGGAAAGCTGTTCAGGTGGATCCCTCGGAGGTAGAAGCAGGCCTAGCAGCGGCTGCTGGAAGGTGTGGAGGCCCCCAGTCACTAAGCTGGAGGAGTCTGAGGTCCCGAGTGAAACGGAGCCTGGAAGTAGGAGGAGTTTTGGTGATCTTAGAGAGAAAAATTCAGATAATACAGAAGAGGAGGAAGACCCAGGGAGGACGGCGAACGTTGTGGGAGACGAAGACTTGCGGCCGGATCTAGGGACGAGTTCTCAAGCGTCAAAAGTCGGGCCCTGTTACAGCCGTTGCTATTCAGCCAGCACCAAAGCCGAACAAGCCAGCCACGGCTCTCCGAACGATGCTGGGCTTCCGGTTGGCGACCAGATTCAGTGCCTCTTGCCAGCGCATGAACTGCTGGAAGAGGCACCAGCAAGAGTCGGACACTCAGCCTGCGAGTCTCACTCCCATTCTCATTCTCATCCTCATCACCACCATCATCATCATCATCACCGCAGTCGCAGTCGAACTCCTCTTGATTCTTTTCATTCCCTTCGGGTTAAGCAGACCAATCGGCATCGGACAAACCAAATGTCACCTGCCTGCCCACAGCGTCAGCCACACGAGCAACAACAGCAACAACCACCTCAGAAATCACGTCAACAGAAGAAAAGACGTCGGAGAGTAAGAGAAGGCGAAGTCTTGGAGTCTTCAAAATCATTTGGGTTATTGACTTCTGCAGATAAAGACAAAGGGGATACAGACAATGTGTTGGGCGATGGTGAAGAATTCAACAGAATGGACAACCACACAGAATGGCAGGCAACAAACACACCTCAGGCAGGACGATGTCCTCAATTGATGGGCTGTCGGCGATTCAGCATCCTGGTTTGTTGCCATGAGATTGCACAGTAAGTCGAATCTTCGCTTCGTTAGTCAACCAATCGTATCATCCGCTGCTAATCTCAATAATGAAGGTTGTATTATTTCTGATATTGAATTAGAGGAGTGTTTCTAATCCCCAAACGGATCTCTGAAAGCATCCTAAATAGTTGATCCGCAATGTTCCTCTCATCTGTACGGAAACCTGACGCCTAAATTTAGACCACGTGATACTTTTATTTGTTGACAAAACTTCGGCTACTGAACAGTTTTAGTATTTGACTTTTTCAAGATTAAAAATTTCCCATTGAAATGTAACGTTGCTAAACTTAGCCATTTTTACATATTAAGACTTGAAGAGCAATAACTTATTTTACACTTTTTATTCTCTGCTTCTTTTCCTTATTCTTTTAATCCACACCCAATATTATATTATTTCTCTTATTTTTCCCCCTTTTTACTCCCATTGTCCTCGTTTTGTCTTCCTTCTCACCATTTACTTTTTTTCTTCCTCTTTTTTTCACTTTCACTCTTTCTTGACCAATTCCATGGATTTTTATTTATACTTGACTTATTTCACTCGTAAAGCTACGTATGCAGCTCTGAGCTTGGTGAACACGTAGGTGCGCCCGTCCATCGTTGCCCGCCCACCAGCCGCGCTCTTCTGCGCACCGAATCACTATCCAGCGACCCTCAGCCTTCATCCTGCAAAGGTAGGCACTGTAGCCAAAGTCATGACCAGCCAGATCATATTGTGCCAACTGAGAGCCCGTGATCTTGGTCTCTTTACTTGATTAAAATGAGACCTTTAAAATAGTGGATCGAGGATATTATTCTAGTGCATCATATTATTGAATAAGGAGCCTGGCCATCTTAGCCCATTTGAATGTTATTTGGGGTTCCTACATTGCAATGGATAGAAAGCACCTATTTGTATCACTCAGCCGTATTTGCACTCTTATTGAAGGTTCGAAACTAAGCCAAGCATATAAAGTGACGATGTTATCATGTTGCCATACAGACACGAGGGACAGTAGATCACAGAGTATGTGACTTTAAATGCGATTAATGCCTCTTCCAATTCATAGTTTGAAGTTGGACCAGTGTCTATAAGGCAAACTTTTACTTTTCGTTTTTAAGTACGTTTTCCAGACTACGACTAGATTATATATATAAGATTTATCCGCCCTATTTCATATCATTGTGGGATAATCCAACTACCTGTCCTGCATCACTTTTAACGATAGTGAATACAGTCAAACTTTATTTTCAGCTACAATTTACGATATTATTGTCACTCAAATGAGTAGGCTTCGAAATCAGTTTCTTATTTAAGACCTAAGAATAGTTTCGTGAGTAACCCATTTTTATACATTATTATATCCTTCTAACGATTCCATATTGCTATTAGGCTTTCATTGAGCCTTTCCAGTATCAAAAGATGATTAAATCTCCTGCCTATACGTATTATCGTGAGCTTTAAACTTGCTTAATGGACACAAGTCTTCTTTTTTGCTTGAAATTTGACAAAATAATCAAATCTAATGAAATTATTCTGTTTGCGTTCAGTGATCTGATTCTATCCGAAAAAAAGTTGGGTTTCGAGGAATCTCCTGTTTCATAATTGTTGAGCTTACTTCA